CTGATAGTATGATTTCCTGCCATACTAAATCAGAAAACACACAAAAATAACAAGTAGTCCTCGACTTACCACAATTGAGCCCAGAATTTATGTTGCTAAGTGAGAAATTTGTTAAGCGAGTTTTTTAAGTTAATTTGTTTAATTAAGTTTGTTAAGTGAGTCCCATTTTACGACTTTTCTTACCACATTTGTTAAATGAATCACTGTAGTTGTTAAATTAGTGACACAGTTGTTAAGTGAATCTGGCTTCCCCATTGACTTTGCTCGTCAGAAGGTCGCAAAAGATGGTCACATGACCCTGGGACACTGCAACCGTCATAAATATGAATCAGTGGTCAAGCATCCAAATGTAAATCGTGTGACCATGGCAATGCTGCAACGGTCATAAGTGTAAAAATGGTCATAAGTCACTTTTTTCAGTGCTGTTGTAATTTTAAATGGTCACTAAACAAACTGTTGTAAATCGAGGACCACCTGTACTGTAATCCCCGAAACAGATTTAGCAGAGGCAATATGCCAAAGATAACCCTAGCCCAGGGGTAGGCAACCTTGGCTCTTTTATGACTCGTGGACTTCAACTCCCAGAATTCCTGAGCCAGCCATGCTGAGGGGAAAGGGAGAGGTTTCCAAGCTGAGCCATGCTGGCTCAGGAATTCTGGGAGTTGAAGTCCACGAGTCATAAAAGAGCCAAAGTTGCCTACCCCTGCCCTAGCCTATTCCCAAAATGGAAGATTCCAAATCTATCACTGAAAATTTGGCCATACCTATTTCACATCCTCCCCTTGCCAACTCCAGGCCTCAATGTTCCCTCCCACAAGTCTAAAGAATAATAGACAGCAGTACAATCCATGCTGAGCAAGACTAGACATTCCTGACTTATACAAACTACAGCTGGAAGCATTTTGATAAGCAATCCCTTTTTTATTTAGATAAGAAATAAAAGCTCTTCTAAAATTATGCCTGACACAGTGCAATGTATTTACTCAAAAGAAAAACAACTTTATAAATTAAGACATCCATACAAAAGAACATTCACAAACACACACACACACACACACACACACATACAAATCATCAGTCTCTATTATGTTCTCAGAAATACTACAATCAACATCCCATTTTAAAGCTAAATATTTGGAGGGGAGCAGAATTTATTTTCCTTTCTAGTAAATACAATACAACTGCACAATATAAAAACTGCACTGAATCAAGATGGAATAATTTTTTTCTTTTATTGGAAAGCACTGGATCCAATAAAATTTCCTGTTGAAAAAAGAGATGAAGGCAATCTTGACTACTGTAATCCTCTCTGCTCCAGCAATTCATTATATTATCTATCAGACTGTTCCAAAGAGACTGTTTTCCAGAACAGCTCTTCAGAAAATGCAGCAGAGGTAGTTCGCGACTTAACAACTGGTCAAAGTCCAGTTGCCTCGTGAAAAAGCATCTTTGGGATAACTGGTCATTTAGCAACCATTCAAGGTTACAAAGGCCTCCCCCCAAAAGTACTTATGATCCAGATTTGAATTCTGACAGCCATCCCCCCCCCCCGGCACATGACTACATTTTGGGTACTTAGCAACTGGCCCTCATTTATGGTTGTTTGCAGTATCCCCACAGTCACATGGCTACGATTTATGGCATTTTTGCCCGAAACCACCATTTACTTCCAGTTTAGGGTAAAAAAATGGCAGTAGTGAACAATGAGTTCACTTAATGACTATGACGTCCATTAATGACCACCACAAAAAGGACGTAAACTTGGACGCAGTTACAGGATAACCCACTTAATGACCAGCACAAATTATCACAGTAATTGTAAGCTCAATTACAGTTGTAAGTTGAAGACTAGTTGTACACAGAAAAGAATGAAATATAAAGATCATCTACCTATTTCCTGTCCTGCAGACGCAGAATTTCATTGAATCATAATCTGGATCCAAAACCCATCAAAATATACTTTTCTTTTTTTGCTTCAGAACTTTTTAAAATTGAGTTATAATCTAGATTTTTTTTACAGTTAAGCAATGTTATTTTTAAAAACTAATGTCCTAAACAAGAGAGGATACAGTATTCCCATCTTGTCTTAGAATATACCTATGCTGACCTTTCTATATTTTTAGGTTCATAACAAGGACAAAACACTATGGCAATACAGCAGAATTCTGAATTAGCATTAGGAAACTCACTGAATAACTCTGGAACAATTACTATCTCTCCATCGTACCTTCCTTATAGGATATGATGACAATGCTAGAATAAGAGGAAGGAATACTAATTATACTGCTTTGAACTCCTGCAAGAAAAGGGACTACAAATAAAACTAATAATTTTGTACATGTTTGTACATATGTTTCCATTAAATCACAAAAGCTAAGCTTGACTCAAAGAAAAAGGAGAATATATACATTTATACCTACTCTTTTTTCCATAATATAATTCAAGGGGAAGAATATAAGATATCTTCCATCTAGCCACCAATTAAATCTAGATCTGTCAGACAGTATCCTAGGACTTAGATAGAGTAAACAGACAGGGGCTGGAATATTTGCATAAAAAAATCCAAGAACGGAAATCACTTTTTCTCAACAGCTATCTTGTGGCCTAGTCTATGTTTCTTTTCCCTAAAAAGGTTAATTTATCTGTATATGCTTTTGATTTTTATCATTGTACACCACCACTACAAGAGCAAGGGTGCTAGAGATAAAATAGACCTGATGCATAGTGGAAGACATATTCTGCAGATGCTATTGTCTTTTTAATTCTACAGTGAACCTGAAAAAGGTGAGAGAAAAAGAAAAAACAGAGAATTTTAAAGGAAGCAAAAGGCCACCTTGAAATTTTGAATGTTCAGGGTGAAAAAATTTGCAGCCATATCGTGAACAGAAATAATCAGGAATTCATTCTTCTTTCCATAGTACAAAGTAATACACAGCTCCCCAATTAAAAAAAACACAACAAATACAAATTTAATGGAAAAATAACAATATAATTCTGTACATATGAGACCTATTTCTGTAATATGCCCAGGGCTGTAGACTAAATATTTAAAAACAAAGACGCAGACCACATGTATAATCAAAAGGATTCCACATACAGTAAAAGCGCAACCTAGATATGAGTCAAACCTAGAGATATGCAAATAATAGGTTTTAATAAACATGTGCTGTGTTTATTAAAACCCTTAATTAGCAAGTTAATATTTATAACCTTATTTGTGCACTTACTGAAATATATAAAATATAAATAAGGAGAGAAAAAGTGCAGCCGTTTGTAATAGACAAATTAAACAGGACATTTAAGAAAATGAATTAAATTCCAGAAAGATGCTGTATGTATGAGAGCTGCATGATTCCCATGGCTGCTGAATGCAAAAAGCAATAAGTAACACAAAGAACTACAGCAGTTTACCCCTTCTCTTTCACTCACCACTGCCCCCCAAAGCACCGGAGTGTCAGCGGCCTTCCTAAGATATTTACAGGGAATATTGCATTGGGATATGTGAGTGAGAGCATGTGCTACACAGAGCACTTTATTATAAGCTCGAGGGAAGAATAAATCAGGAAACGGGGGCACAGGACTTAATGAGTTTTGCTACTGTTCCCCCAGATCAAAACCATTAGGACTTGCCATCTGCTTTATTCAAAGCAATTTACCTAATAAACAAGTTACCTTTTTGACCTGTTCTCTCACCCTTCCCTTTTTTGCTACTTCTAATTGAATAGTTAAAACGAGGACAGGATCTCCCCCCGTTTACAGACTCCCACTTATCAAACGGGGTAGCGATTCCGACCAATTCCTCTAAAGGCAGGATTCAAAATAAAGGCAACAGTTATTCGAAGTGTTCCGAAGTACGCAAACGGTACTTTGTCTCCCGAAGCTCTCTTCGGTCGAAAGAACAAACGCCACTTAAGGAAAGGGCAGCAAGTCGCTCCGGGGCCCGGAGAATCGGGGTGGAAGGGGGCGCAAAACCGCCTCCCTCTCCAATGCAGCGGGGCGCAAACAAGAGGCTCGAAAGCTATTCCAGACGGCGGATGTCGCGGTTCCTCCCAGGAGGTGGAGGGGAAGATGGGAAGAGGGGCTCACGCTCCTGCCCCAGAGGAGGAAAGCGTCTCGCTTCCTTCTCTCTCCCTCGTCAAATGGAGGGGTGGGCTTGTCCTGATCTCAGGAGCTGCGCCCGCGGGAGGCAGGCAGGCAGGCAGCGCTGCTCGGCCCTTTCCCTTCTTTCTCTCGCACGGAGCCAATTGGGCGAGGCTCCATCTTGCTCGCCTATGCAAAGAAGCGGGCGGAGAGGCGACGCCAGGCCCGCGGGCGGCTCCTACCTGTGGGATCCGGAGAGGGGTGACGCTGGGGGGAGGGGGGGCGCTTGGTCCGGGAAGCGCGAGCTCAACCAGGGTCGGAGCCGGTCCTTGCGGGGCGCTGCGGCCCCCTCCCCGCCGCCGCCGCCGCCGCTTTCCTCCCAGACGGGCAGACCGAGAGGGAAGGCGAGCCGGAAAGATCCACGGGCGGGGGAGCGGGCCTCGCCGAGCCAACCGGGCCAAGCAGCTGCAGGGAGCCGCGGCGGCAGCGTGCGCGCTCCGGGTCTGGGTCTCTGCGCCGCGGGAGCGAGCGGGTGAGGGGGAGGCTGAGGCTGAGCCGGGGGTGGAGCGGCGGCGGCTGCTCTGAGCGGAGGAAGGGAGCGGCAGGCGGACGCCTCCGAAAGAGGCCGCTGGCTGGGGCGGTCGTTGGAGGGAACAGCCGCCCGGCGAACCCGGCCTGGCGCGTTCCAGGGGCGACGCGACGTCACATGTGCCTGGGAGGCGAAACGACGGAGCCGGGGAGCCGCCGAGCTGTGCCCTCCGCCTTTGGGGCGGACTCGGGCTGCCCGGGGGGCTCAGCTGGCAGGCATCTCTGCGGGGGTACGGCGAGCGAAACGCGGGGAGACGGGGCCGGAGGGGGGGGGGTTCAGGTGGCCCCGAAGGAGAGGGGGCCACAGGCTGTGACCTTCAGGAGCAGACTCTAGAAGCGCGGGGATCGCTCAGCGCTATAAGGGCTAGGATTGATAAGGGCTGGGTGCAGGGCTGCAGACCCAATAATACTGGAAACAATAAAGCGAATTGACTTACATGTCTTTTGTGCTTCAATATAATCATTTTCTTGTGTGTGTGTTTGCTAAAGGAAACCGCATATGTGCATAAATCAGTGCTTAAACATCACCACATCCTGGTGCATTTTTCGTTTATGTCTTAGGATTTATGAGCTGCCCTATGGCTAAAATCTCCCTGGGTGATGGATAATAAAAAACACTAAATCAAATCTGGGTAAGCCATAACAAAGGCTGCAAAAGCCAAGTTATTAGATGAAAAGATAATTAAGAACAGAGAAATTAAACTGCTTAATAGCAAAACAGAGCAGAAATATATGAAAAGGCGCACTGGTCTAATAAAAAATAAAAGAACTGCTGCCAGCAGAGTAGGTCTTCAGTGGGTTTCTTTTGGAGAGACACTCCATAGCAGATAAGACTAAAGGAAGTGAGAAGATTTTCTTCTCAGGTGACAACAATTTCAAGACTTGGGTAGAAATGGAAAAAAAAGTGAGAGATTTGTCTGCAGATTTTACTAAATACTGCACCCAACAATGTTTGTATTTCCACCCATTTGAGAGGCAGTAAACAATTACAGTCAGTCCTGTCAGAATTGGGCTTTAATTAAAAGCTAGAAAATCTGTTTTTATCAAAGAGTGCTTGAACTTCATGAGCTGTCATCCATTGGAGTATCTTGCCTATCAGGATTTCCTTCCTTTACTGAAATCCTTATACATGATAAATCTGCCACCTTCAGTTTCAGCTGTTAATGAATTTGGCAGCAGTGTCAAATGTGTAGAAGCATCAACTACCTGAAGTTAATCTGGCATGTTTCTGAAAGCCCTTCATAAATAATAAGATTTCTGTAGTTTATCATATCCAACATTCTTTCAATATAGGAGCAATGAACAAGCATATTAATTCTCATGGGCTGATGAAGGCATTTCTGTACAACTGATAAGCTGAATATGACCTAGTCCAAACATTCAATGAATATACCACAAAAGTTAATGCTTCCTTAGGTTGTAGAACTTTTTCTTTTCTGGAGGAGATTTGAGAACAGGTCTCTCAGATTCTATATAATAGCACTCAGGGCAGTTTTGCCTCCTTTAGATGGGTAGTTTATCATTTTAAAAAGGAAAAAAAAAGCCTGATTCCACCCCTCAAAAAAGTCATCAATATATATATGCATATACTATTTGTGATTATTGGTGTTACATATTATAACTAATTCATCATATTGCATATTATAACTAATATCAGGATCAGAATTTGTGCCCATCAGCTTTGAACCATGTAAGCTTTCTTAAGTACAGTATTCTCTATACTGATTTTATGGCAGGAGTCTCAAACATGTAGCCTCAAGTTGTTTTCTTAGGCCCACACTGATTGATACTTTGTCCAGCAAGGCCAGGATACCCTGGAAGATGCATAGGCTGGGCCATGGAAACCTACCAGGGATCTGAGGGACCTGGGGTCGGGTTGAGTGGTTCACCTGGATTCATGCCTGAGGGACTTCTGGCTACAAGGGGTTCAGAGTTGGTGCCTTGAAGTCTGTTCTGAGAAAGTAAGTGCAGTTCCTGAGGCTGGTCTGGGGTCTTTGAGCAAGGGCAAAGGGAAGCAAGGCTTAGCCAGGAAAGTGGGCCAAGAGGCTGGAGGTATTCAAGGAAAGGAAGAAAGCCATAGTGGAGGAAGACGAGAAGGAGGAGGACCAGGTCTGAGTGCTGAACAAGGAGCTGAAAAGATAGCAACAGAAGAAAATCTCTCCTAGGCAGAGGCAGAAAGGAAGCCCCCTTATTTGGCAAGAAGAATGGGGAGAGCAAACAAGACACAGAATTCTGTTCTGCCAGACGAGAAAAGGAGGATTTCGCCATCCTCGTTTGATGGATTGCTAGATTGTATCATTCATTCTGGGTATATCTTGGGGGGGGGGGGAACAACCCAGCAATAAAACCAAGGCTAAGGATCTGGTCTGAAAAATATTGCTAGCTATCACACTGAGATACTTTTCATTTTTCACCCAGTACAGCAGTGTTTCTGAAACTCAGCAACTTTTAAGATGTGTGGACTTCAACTCCCAAAATTCCCCAGCCAGTATGGCATCTGGGGAATTCTGAGAGTTGAAAGCCTCACATCTTAAAGTTGCTGAGGTTGAGAAGCACTGCTTTAGAGACTTTTGTAATAATATATGAAAAAAAAAATCAGTCTTGCAGCCTGATGAACTTTAGGCAAATGAACTGATCCTCCTCCAGCATTTGGGAGGATTTTGGATGGACAGCCCTTGCTTGATGTCAATGTGCCATTTTCTCTATAGGAAACTGATAATAGAACATCCAGGCTTGGTCAGCCCATGCATATCCCCCCTACTGTGGCAGACTATTTACATAATTTAGGTTTTCCTAAATGACGTAAAAATAAGAATCCTTTGTGGCAATCCTTTTTTCCAGTCAGTTCTAATGGTATTGGTTCTGACTCACAAATCTGGTTTGCAATGAATGAATATTAAAAGTGCCTCTATAACTTTTAATTTGCCCAGTGTCCATTTTTGTTTTATGTTATATTCAGCTTCCAGATTCTAGGCATATACCAGTGATGGCGAACCTTTTAGAGACCGAGTGCCCAAACTGCAACCCAAAACCCACTTATGCATCGTCGGGTGCCAGGTGGGTGTGGCTCATTGGCTGGGTGTGGCCCATTGGGTGGGCGTGGCTGCGGTGGTAATAGCAGACTGGGTGGGACTAAAAAGTTCGATCAATCAATTCCAACTTTGCAAGATCTTTTTTTTCCCCGCGAGAAGTTGAAATTGACTGATTGATTGAACCTTTTTTTTGTACACAGTGGCGGAGGCCTAAAGCGAAAAGGTTTTATAAAACCCAGCTAAAGGCCTAGGACTGGGGTGACGGCGCGTGTGCCCACAGAGAGGGCTCTGAGTGCCGCCTCTGGCACCCGTGCCATAGGTTCGCCACCACTGGCATATACCAATATGTTGATTTTTAACAGCACCAGCTACAGACAAATTTAAAACTCGGATTATGGATGTAGCCATAAGAAAGTTAAACTCAATGGAAAACCAACATTTGGAACAACATTTGTTTTAAAGAAATATGTTCAAAAGAAACTCCTTTTCTCCCCTCCCATAATGCAGTATAAATAAGCATTAAGATTATTTTAAAGCAAGTCATTGTAGGTTGTTGGGGTTATTATTATTTTTTTAACCATCTTGTGCTTTTGAATAGAGAAGACGTCATCTGTTCCCCTGCTGGCACACATTACATTTAAGTAGCTGGATACATACAGCATGAGACAGTGGAGTCTCTGCAGCAGCAAACAAACAATTAAATATTAATCTACTGCACTTTTCATGATAATGCTTGTAGCTGAAAGGAGCCAGAATGCAGTTTCTTTACTATTTTTTTTTAAAGAGAAGCTTGTTACAAAATGGACTCCCAGTCTTGCTCAGCTATTTAGGATAATTGGCTGAAGCACAAAATCAGTAATGCTAAACTCTTCAACCTAGTATCAAAATCTTCTTTACGGATTATATAAATGTTAATTTCTTTATGCACATTCCTGGTGGCAGCTGCAGTTTAATATTTATGTTTCTTTAAAGAAATCTTTAATATTTATGTTTCTTTAAACAAATATTTACCTTTACAAATCTCTGTTCCTAATTTAATGACCTAGATAGAATTGTGCATGTATATAAATGAATGTTCAGAAGAATTTGGTGAGATGGACATAAATAGACAGCTATGTTAGTTTATGATAGGCAAAAATCAGGAAGAATCTGGTAGTCCTTTTCAGACCAACACATTTCAATAAAGGGCGTAAGCTTTCATGATCTGTGGCTCACTTCACCAGATGTATGGGGTGATTAAATTGATCAATTTTGCCCCTACATATGATGAAATGAGCTCATGAAAGTTTATAACTTTTAATAAAATACATTTGAGAAAGGGCTACCAGACTCCTCCTGATTTTATACAAATATAGAATCCTGTACAAATATACCTGTTTGCAGAGCTAGGTTGGTGTAGTGGTTATGGCACCAGGCTAGAAACAAGGAGACTGTGAATTCTACAATAGTCCTGCCCTAGACACCAAGCCAGCTAACTGTGGGTGACCCTGGGCCAGTCATTCTCTCTCTCTCTCTCTCTCTCTCTCTCTCTCTCTCTCCATTCTAGGAAGAAGACAAAGGCAAACTGTTTCTGAAAATCTTACCATTAAAACTGCAGGTCTAGTCCAGACAGCTGCCAGCAGTCAACACTGAATTG